CCTCCCAGCCACCATGGCTACTCCACTCAACTATTGTGCTGAACTGGGGTGGACCAGGGACAGACTGTCACTGGTGGACTGAGCCATCCTGTCGCCAGTGTTCCATTCTGCAGTAGATGCTCTCTGGGGGTTGTTAAAAGTGATAAAAAAAACATCTACACTTTGTCCTTATTCCCTTTGGTTCATCTACAAGCCTCTTTCACAGACCTCCTTCCTTCCAGTCATTCACCTTCCAGACCTTTAGCCACTGCTCATGAGTCTGTATCCAGTCTTCCTTCAGGGTGTTCCCCTTTCCACACAAAATGGAAGATCAGGTGCAGCACCTAGAGCTCTGCCCCTTGGAAGGGTCTCCCCTGACTGCTGTCTCCCAAGGCCACCCAGAGTAGACACGAGACAGCAGCAGTCTTCTTTCTGACTTGCACCAATACAGCAGGCTGACCCACCTGTGAATCCACCTCCGCCCTGCTGGTGCCCCATCAGCTGGACATGCAGCTAGGGCTTTGAGCTGAGGGATAGATGCTTGTACAGTGATGACAGGCAGCAGGGTGGCCTGGGCCACCTCTTGTGGAGCTGGCTTGCACCCTCCAGCTCTGCTCTGCACCACTTCTCTTTCATGCTGTTTTGCTGCTGAGCCCACCTAATCTTGTGGGTGGGTCTGCAAAATCCCACATCTTGGTGGTTATATTTTGCTCCAGCGTCACTTAATGTCTCATACTCAGATGCTCTATTTCTGCCAGAGCCCTGGCTTACACAAACTGCTTTTCCAACAGTGTAATGTTTCCTGTTGTAGATGGGGTGACTTTCCTCCAGAACCCTTGAGGTCTATACTGTGACTCTTTTACTAGTGTTTATCATAAAATCCTCATGGAATTTTTTTCTCATTATAGGTACTCCTAGTAACATAAGCTTTGCAAATCAGAAAGCCCAAGCAGTAGGACTGCTTTCACTGCAGCCAGGACTTCTGCTAGAGACATTTCCTGCTCTTAGCCCCAACCGAACCTGGCAGCCTTTCCACATCACCAGGATGTGAATCAGAGCAGCTGCCTCTGGCATTCAAAGTGCTGACCAAGCATTAGGTTTCCTTGCCAGTAGGGGGAGGTACCAGATGCAATATGTATATTTTTTATAATGAAAGGAATACCTTGTCACACTCCGGGCCACTGAAGTCCTAACATCATCAATGACGTCGTGGGTGTCGGATTCTTCAAAGACAAAATTATTTCTCACATTTTGGAGCATATGTATTTTACCGAGGACTCTAACAAACTTGAGACTTCTTTTCTTGCTTGTCTTATTAACATCCCACATCAACACAGTGGAACAGTGTGATGTTCTGATGACAGCAATTTTCAAACGCTGTGGTCTCAGGACCCTTTCATATTCTTTAAAATTGAGTACCCCAAAAAGCTTTTGTTTACATGGGTTATACACATTAATATTTACTGGAAAATAAACCGGAGACATTTTCAATGTATTTGTGTATTTATTTGTTAAACATAAAATAATAAACCCATTACATGGTTATATAAATGACACCTTATTATGAAAAATAATTATTTTCCAAAAAATTTTTCTGAAAGACATTGTTTAACATTTTTGCAAATCTCTTCAAGACATCTGGAACAAATGTTTCTACATTCCATCTGTTGGGATATGTTATTTTAGTTTAAGATTGTGAAGAACATCTACTTTCATACAGATATACAGCTGAAAATAGAGTATTTTAATACTCTTTTCAGATAATTATGGATATTTTTTCTATGATGCTGTATTAAAACCCAATGAGTGGTAGTACCTTAAAGGTTTGCTGTGATGTGGGATCTGAAATTGTGTCTCGCATGTTTTGTATGCTGTTAGATTAAAATTCATTGGTCTTGGCCAGGCGTGGTGGCTTAGGCCTATAATTCCAACACTTTGGGAGGCTGACAGGGGTGGATCACTTGAGGTCAAGAGCTCGAGACCAGCCTGGTCAACATGGTAAAACCCCCATCTCTACTAAAATTACAAAAAAATTAGCTGGGAATCGCTTGAATCCAGAAGATGGAAGCTGCAGTGAGCCGAGATCGTGCCACTGCACTCCAGCCTGGATGACAGAGCGAGACTCTGCCTCAAAAAACAGAAGCGAAAACAACAACAACAAAATGAGCTCCTACTTGAATGAAATAGATTCATACCTTCCCATTATAGAACATCTAAAATAAGTATTTTTCTATATGCCAATGGCATTACTTGATTACAAACCATAGGTAACCTCAATAGACAACTGATTCTGCACTCGAATGATTGCTAGATGGCTGCAAACTACATTTTGTAAAGGAAAGGTTTTAGTAGATGTCCCATGATGTGTTTATATGTCTATAATTCCCTCTGCCCCCATTGTAGCACCTCGTTCAGTTATGTGGTTGTATCTTTTGCTAGTATCTTTTGTCGCATGGTATGTTAGCTTGCTAGGGCTGCCATAAAAAGGTACCACAGACTGAGTGGCTCACACTAGAAATTTATTTGTTCCTAGTTCTGGCAGCTGGAAATCCAATCCCGATATCTTCTAATCTTCCAATTCTGGTATCTTCTAATATCTCTCTCCTTGCCTTGTAGATGGCCACATTCTCACTTTATTCTCACAGGGTCTGTCCTGTGCACACACATCCTTAGTGTCTCTTTGCATGTCTAAATTTCCTCTTTTCATAAGGGTATCAGTCAGATTGAATGAGACCCTATCCTATGGCCTCATTTTAACTTAATCATCCCTTTAAAGACCTTATTTCTAAATATAGTCACACTGTGAGGTTCTCAGGGTTAGGACTTCCATATATAAATCTGGCAGGGGGTAAGGGAGCGGGAGGGAGAGACACAATTTAACCCATATCAGGTGACAACCCAGGAAATTATATTTCCCAAGACTGCCATTTCAGAGGTACCATATGGCTGATGGGAGTTTTATACCTTTTCAGATTTTTTCCTTTTCAGTGTTTTTCAAGATAAAATTGGGGCTATGCTTTAAGATGAAGCTGAAATATTATGATTTTTTATTTGTGTAGTTTTAAGAGATAAACCAGACTTTCTGAACAAGGTTTATCCCCTCTTGAAATGCTCCATTGGATCTCCTCTTTGTGGAAATATTCTATTCAGGCCCTAACTTTATGATACTCTATTTTTCACAAATTATCCTCAGTTATCCTTGGCTTTGTTCCTATTAACTGTTCTGCTGCTCACTTAGCTATCAATACAGACAGCTGTGGCCTGGGGAATCAGTAGGAAATACAATCACCAGCCCACAATGCCTTTCGAGATTTGTAGAGAGAGATCCATTGAGGCCTGCCTGTGGGCAACACAGCTCATCCATTCCTCCAGGTCACAGGCCCTGAGACTAGAAGCAGAACTTTTTTCAAATAAGAGGAATCATAGTTTACATCTCATTCCCATTAGTTCCATGGCCTCAAGAAGGTGATGTGCCCTAAACAAGCACAAGCTTGCTTCTTGATTGGGGCCATGCACAGTTGCACTGCACGCAGATAGTCACCGTCAGCTGTTTTTAAGTGGTGTTTGAAATAGCCCTGTGAATAATCCTGTATTTAATGATGTTGTCCCATCTTCTGGGATCCAGTGGAGGACTTTCTATTTTCTCAGTGCATTCGCCTGATACTTGTTTTACTCTGCAAGAAATAAAATCTTATATCAACACATGTTGCTAATCTTTAAACAGCCAAAATGTTTCTGACTAAATTTGCTTGTAAATGCACAGGATTTCACGACACTCATTTTATATACTTAAAAACAAAGTTTATTAACACCTTACTTTTTTTCTGCCATTTCTATCACATCATTTTTAAAATTTCAGCTTTTTTATATTGCTATATCCTGTGTCTATTTGTGAAGTGCTTTAAATCATAATTTCTGGTTAGAAGCTTCTGATATTTTCTCAATTTCTGTGGTTGTTTTGTGTGCATATGTGAGGGGAGAACCTCTTTCTTTTGAGTGAGATGGAGCTCTTATAATAACTTATGCTCCAATTTTTCCTTCTCAGGAAGCAAATTTAGTAGGGACCACTGGAGACTACCCAGCTGCCTTATGACTCTAAGCAGAGAAAACATTCTTCAGCCATTCATGTTGGAGCTAGGTGAAGCATTCTAGCTCCAACACGACAGCCATCTCTCGGAACAGCAGCAACTGCTATCTTGCTTCTCCTCCTTTAAGGAAAACAACCCTTAAGGGAAACAACTGAGAATTGGGCAAGAGGAAAGTAATCATGTGCTGAAATCTTCCAGAGAACAAAAGTTAGTGAAACTATCTTAGACTTCTAACTCGGAACTCTTGTAGGAAGAGCAAATACTTACGGAAAGCTGAGAAAGCAGTATCTAGGGCCTCCAGACCACCCCTAGAGGGACGTGTGTGGATGGCTAGGGGAACGTTTTGAGGAAAGTTCATTGGTCAACCTGTTCCACGTGGCGAACCCATTTCAGGAAAGAGCGGCAGCACCGTGGACAGCGCCAACCCTCCTGCGCCCGGGCGGGGAGAGGCGGCAGCACCGCGGACAGCACCACAAGTGGGGGCGCGCACTGGGAGCCTCCGGGCAAGGGGAGAGCGGCAGCACCGCGGACAGCCTCAAAGCCTTGCACTCCGAGCCAGGAGGCGGGGAGAGACGGCCTTATCAGCTGATGGCTTACGTAGGGCTAGATCTCCGCTTGGATAAGGCAGGTCTCGGTGGGCGCGCCAGCATTCGCTCTCCGGAGCCGCAGCCTCAGACGGGGTGGCGGGGGCAACTGGGACAGAAGGCAGGTCCCAGAAAGCAGGTCCCCCCAAAACTGGCTTCCCTAGCACGGAGTTAAGGCTGCAGCCGGCTGCCTAGAGAGAAGGGTGGGCAAGGAGGCAACGCGGTGAGAGCGACTGCTCTGACGCACCAGCCCCTCTCCTGCACCCACACGCGGCTGGCCGCCCAGCTTCTCCCCGATCTGGGAGATGCTTGGCTCTGGGCGGCCAGACAGCCTTTTCCACCAAGGCGAGGAGCCCTGGGCTCCTGACAGCTTAGGCGGGCCCTGGCTGCAACACGCAGCCCCTCGCCTCTGCTTCCTTAGCCTCTGAGAGCTTCAGACCTACCGCGCTTGCAACCACACCATCTCCAACGGATGCTCATTAGCAGGATACTGGGGTCAAATTCACAGGCACTTTCCAGAAACTCCACCACTGGCCAGAGTTTGCAAACATCCGGATTGGCTCTGGGCACAGCGGCCACCTTAAGTTCTCCTGAACACCCCTTCTGCAAGTACCCCAGGCCGGTCTCCTGACCCAGAGATGGATTTACCTGTGAACCTAACCTCCTTTTCCCTCTCCACCCCCTCCCCTTTGGAGACCAACCGCAGCCTCGGCAAAGACGATCTGCGCCCCAGCTCGCCCCTGCTCTCGGTCTTCGGAGTGCTTATTCTCACCTTGCTGGGCTTTCTGGTGGCGGCGACGTTCGCCTGGAACCTGCTGGTGCTGGCGACCATCCTCCGTGTACGCACCTTCCACCGCGTGCCCCACAACCTGGTGGCGTCCATGGCCATCTCGGACGTCCTGGTGGCTGCGCTAGTCATGCCGCTGAGCCTGGTGCACGAGCTGTCTGGGCGCCGCTGGCAGCTGGGTCGGCGGCTGTGCCAGCTGTGGATCGCGTGCGACGTGCTCTGCTGCACGGCCAGCATCTGGAACGTGACGGCCATAGCCCTGGACCGCTACTGGTCCATCACGCGCCACCTGGAATACACGCTCCGCACCCGCAAGTGCATCTCCAACGTCATGATCGCGCTCACCTGGGCGCTCTCCGCTGTCATCTCTCTGGCACCGCTGCTTTTTGGCTGGGGAGAGACGTACTCTGAGGGCAGCGAGGAGTGCCAGGTAAGCCGCGAGCCTTCCTACGCAGTGTTCTCCACCGTAGGCGCCTTCTACCTGCCGCTCTGTGTGGTGCTCTTCGTGTACTGGAAGATCTATAAGGCTGCCAAGTTCCGCGTGGGCTCCAGGAAGACCAATAGCGTCTCACCCATATCCGAAGCTGTGGAGGTGGGTATCTCAGCAATCCTTAAAAATATTCGACTTGCATCTGTACAGGCTATATCCCCAGGCCACCTGCCCCACCCCCCACACTTGTAGAAAATGGAACTTTTTGTGTTTGGGAGTTAGGGGAGTAAACTGGGAGACTGGAAGAAAGCATCATAGATATACTTTGCTCTGACATGTTCCCTCTCACAGAGCTAATCACATCATTTTCCTTCTCTAATGAGTTATTTGTTAAACATACAGAACACGAGAAGTTCGGACTGCCTCATTCTACAGGGTCCCCTTTGGCCCCCAAATTCTATGGATCTATAACACTCTTTAGAACATCTGGATAAACTGGTATCTGGGGTACACTGATTCAGTATACTGGAAAAACTAGCAGCTTCCCGCACTTAGAATGGGGGTGTTCCAGGAGGAGGGGAGGCAGGGATGGGAGCACGATTTGATAAGAAGACTGCCGTGTGTCAGGCGATGCAGATTAGCACTTCATCCTAGTCTATTCTTTTTCTTTGCAAATTACAGCAACCGATTTATTAAAAATATGGTATCACCTAGGTTACTGTCATTCTGTGGCAACCTCCCATCCTGACGTAAGACTGAAGATGTTGCCTGCATTGGTCCCAGAGCCTGCATTTGTTATCTGCTTCCACTGCCTTGGGGTGCTACTTTCTGGGTCTATCCCCCACAGCCCTATTAGGTTGTAGGTGTGACTGAAGACTACTTGTCTTCCTTTCTGAACATGAGAAAAGCTGCAGAAGGAAATTAAAAATCCAGGAAAGAGAATTCCCCAGCTCTCTATGAGAGGTATTTATTGCATGACAACCACTTTAGCAACAGCGAGGAGCTTTTCTCATCTTCTCCCACTCCTGTTTTTTTGTTGACTGTTAATAATCTGGCCCTATGACTCATGATTCTGAAGACTGCTCCCCTTCATTACCAAGGAAGATTCCTTGAATCTAATTCACACATTTGAGTTAGAGCAGAAGTCTACACAGTCCCCATTTTCTGTTGTTGGCTCTGAAACAAGCATATGGAGCGCATACTACAGGCTTAGTGCAAGAAGTAAGAAAATGATAGAGATGTTGTCTTTGCCCATGAAGAGTTTGGTCTAGGGAGGGAAATAGACATGCCTTCTGAGCTCTGTATGTGCTTTCTAGACTCAGTAGCTAATTCTAACCATCCCCAGTCAGTCAAACTCAGAGGGACCAGAGGTGTAGCTGAGGAAAAAGGACATCATCTTAGAGGAAGGAAGAAAATGAGGGGTTAGAGGCTACCTGTTCTTTTACCTACAGCAGCACTTCTCAGCGAATGGTGATATTGCCCCCCAGGAAACATTTAGGCTGTCTGGAGGCATTTCGGATGATGAAGACTTGAGGATGGGGTGCTAATGGCATGTCGTGTAGAGAGGTCAGGAATGCTGCTAAATACTGTACAACGCACAGGACAGCACCTCAACAGAGAATTGTTCAGACCAAAATGTCAAGTGTACTGAATTTGGGAAACTCTGAACTATTCAATTTCTAAGCTGAACAGAGTGCTGATGGGTAAGAACACTGAAGCTTCCATCAGACCACCTGAAGATATGTTCCGTGCATATGAGCGTCCACTCAAATTCCAGGCCAGGAACAAGGAGACTGGTCACCTCCAAGGGTCCTCCTTTTATGAATCCTCCTCTCCCCTGATGTTTATTCAGGCAAATATGATTTACAGTCAACCTCAAACACAGCTTTAGAAGGAGAAAGTTAATTACAATTCCATCCCTGGCTTGTTGTAAAAGGATGAAGGGCACTCTCATTTCTCTGCTTTGGTGATAGCAGAAGCAAAGCATTATAACATCTTTGTGCTTTTTATATAGATACACACAAACATATGTGTGTGTATATATGTGTGTATATATATGTGTATATATGTGTGTGTGTGTGTGTATTCTCTCCTCTCTCTACCTCTCCCAGATCAGTTTTGAAAATGGGTCCCTTGACTTAGCAAAAGGACTCTAAATAATTCACTACTCTAAATATAATATGTGACTGCCTCTGTCCTTACGTTATGTTGAAGGGTTAATTACAAACCAGGCCTCCTGATTGTTCTGTGATAGTGGGAGTGGGTGTCAAAGCTTCTAAATGAGTTCTACCACCAGCTAGCTGTTCCCTAGGGACACCACAACACTTCTATCATTTCTTTATCTGCTGGGTTTTATTCAAATACATGCCATGAAATCCTAACCTAAGTCGGACATTGAGCTGGGATCTGGCAACACAAGACAGATAAGCCTTGCCCTTGTCAAAGGACAAGAAAGCCACTGCTAGAGATCTGAAATAAAATGACAAAGAAAAATACCTTCCTTACTAGAGTGAGTAGGGGCTGTGCTGTCCAGGCAGTTTGCCTGAGCAGAGCAGAATGCTGACCTAAAACAGCGCTTTTGGGAGGTATGGAGCTTCAGGGGTTGGTGGATTGTTGAGATGTGGATAGATGGCATCCTCTGTAGGAGAAGCTGTTGCTGATTGGTTGTCGTCCAATGGGTATTTACTGAAGTGAGTCCGTCTCTGGTGGCCTGACTTTCACAACAGAGGGGCTAACACCGATAATCTCCACAGGTAGTGTAGACATCTGGGAGGTAGAGATAGTGTGAACTATTTTACCTTCTATTAATCTAACCCTAATTGCCCTCCTATCCTTATTCATTCTATATATAATAGACAAAGTTAATAACCCTCTGACTCTCAAAATTATAGGCCACCAATGATACTGAAACTATGCATATATTTGATTCCTATATGATCCCTGCAGCAGACCTACACCTAGAAGAGCAACCTATATAAAAAGACTATACATGTAGACAAACAACAGCAAAAGCAAAGCAAGCATCATTAGGCTACGTAGATGAATAGCATGACACCATTTGCCAAACAGTACAGCTTCATGACAAGAGGTTTGAAGTCTTTTACACAGATCTAAGACAATTACCTAATGGTAGATCTCTTAATCAAATATCTAGTTACTCAACACAAACACCTCAGCCTTACAACCTTATACAAGAACACACTTGGTTACAAATCCTAAGATAAGAAAATTTTAAAAGAATCTTGATTGAGATGAGTTGCCCTTGATCCAGGTTACTGAATTAAGCGGTGAGCTTAAAATAAGCAATGTTCTTTGACAGGTGCTATGCTGTCACCTTAATCCACCCAGAGCATGGCCCCCCCGTATTTTCATATTTGCATGAAAAGGAATGTTCATGATAACCTAGGAAGAATCAGTCTTAACTCTTATGCATTCTACTTCAATTAAATTTTCTAGTTGTGGAGTCTCTTGTCCACAGAGATTCTAAGACCATCAGAATTTCTATAGTAATTTTCAAAATTACATGCGGTGTAGGCATTCTCACATCTAGATCAGTTATAATCTCATCATGAACAAGGGCTGCAGCACATTTTATTTGGAAGCAGATCCTACCTATTGCAGGTATGTCATAGGTTAAAGAAGTATTATTTTGATAATGATCTGAAAATATCAGTTATAAGTTGGCATACAGGATTGTTAAAGACTGTTACTACTTGAATCGTTTCATTAAATAAAGTTGATTTTCTCTCAAGCTTTTGAAAAATTTACTATATGCCAGAAATTTGTCAATTTGTCATTCATTATCTTGTTTCACTACCTGGTATCACCTATAACCAATAGGTTTTTTGTTTTTTTTTTTAATGGAGTCTCACTCTGTTGCCTAGACTGGAGTGCAGGGGCCTGATCTCAGCTCACTGCAATCTCTGCTTCCCAGGTTCAAATAATTCTCCGGTCTCCGCCTCCTGAGTACAGGTGTGTGCCACCGTGCCTGGCTAATTTTTGTATTTTTAGTAGAAACAGGGTGTTGGCCAGGCTGGTCTCGAACTCCTGACCCCAGGTGATCTGCCCACCTTAGCCTCCCAAAGTGCTGGGATGACAGGCGTGAACCACTGCATCCAGCCACCAATAGCTTTATTAAATTTTTTGTTTGGTTTTAATTTTTAAAAACTTGCTACAAGTCAATTTGCTTTTCTGTTTTTCAGACAACTTCAAAAATGTACATGGAATGATCTCTTGTTCTATAATAGTGGGGTTACTGGTAGTTATACTGACACCCACATAAACAAAAACATTATATAGTTATACATCTAGTTATAGAAAATTCTCCTTGAAAGTTTAAAAAAAACAAAGAAATTGTTGAGTGAAAATACCTTCCTTGGAGTGGCTTTATTAGATAGATTGTATATCGTTGTCATTTTGCTTTTTAGCCAACACGAGATGTTCATTCTTTCAAGGCTCCTTCTGCTAGCAATATACTAATGTGTATAGGGATCCTTATCTCAGCTCTCAAATCTTTGAGAACAGAGGCCCTTTTGGATGCCTTATCTAGAAAGCCATATCTTGTATTGATTTCTAGCATTTACTTTCTAAGTCTATCTGGAAATGTCTAAAGCCATATCTTGTATTGATTTCTAGCATTTACTTTCTAAGTCTATCTGGAAATGTTTAGCTCTACATTGGATATTTTGCAAATTGGCAATTTCACATTTCAGTTTATTTTTTCGTATTAAATTCCCAAATTCAGGTTTAAGTCCATTTATAGAAAGACATGACAAGACTATACTTCAGCTGTTGGGTATACACAAATATGCTGCTTGAAGGTTTTCTGATGTCTCTTTCTGTCTTTATTCAGCCTCCCAAGTAGATGGGACTACAAGTGTGAGCCATCACACCTGGCTATTTTTAGTATTTTTTATAGAAATGGGGTCTCACCATGTTACCCATGATGGTCTCAAACTCCCATGCTCAAATAATCCTCTTGCCTTGGCCTCCGAAAGTGC